GCACGAAGTGGCCTACAGTTGGCTCCGGGCATCCAAAATGTGGCCCGGGAATGGTGTTCTGGGAAGTCGAAGAGCACGAAGTGGCCTACAGTTGGCTCCAGGCATCCAAAATGTGGCCCGGGAATGGAGTTCTGGGAAGTCGAAGAGCACGAAGTGGCCTACAGTTGGCTCCGGGCATCCAAAATGAGGCCCGGGAATGGAGTTCTGGGAAGTCGAAGAGCACGAAGTGGCCTACAGTTGGCTCCGGGCATTCAAAATGTGGCCCGGGAATAAAGTTCTGGGAGGTCGAAGAGCACGAAGTGTGTCACTGTTTGCTTAAAGCGAGCCCGGTTCTCGCCTGTCCGGCTCCCGCCCAGACCCCCCTGGGGAGTCATCAGATGCTCTCTTCTGGCCCCATTAGAAACCTATCAGTCTTCGCTGTTGGGTAATATTCACCGATCGAGCTGAGAATAAGATGGCGAGTCGGAATAAGATCCAAGATTGCCGCAAAAAATATTATCCTGGCAAAGCAACCTAACAGCGATGTGTAGGAGCATATCTGGAAGCATTCCCCTTAAGATTCACATGAGAATCCTGTTGTAGAATTCTGCTGTTCTCGCAGTCGTAGTCGCATTCGCGATGGCAGTCGCAGTGGCAACGGCAGTCGCAGTCACAGCCTCAGCCTCAGCCTGCCTCAGCCTCAGCCTACCTCAGCCTCAGCCTCAGCCTGCCTCAGCCTCAGCCTCAGCCTGCTTCAGCCTCAGCCTCAGTCTGCCTTCAGCCTCGGCCTCAGCCTCAGCCTGCCTCAGCCTCAGCCTGCATCAGCCTCAGCCTCAGCCTCAGCCTGCCTCAGCATCAGCCTGCCTCAGCCTCAGCCTCAGCCTGCCTCAGCCTCAGCCTCACCCTGCTTCAGCCTCAGTCTGCCTTCAGCCTCGGCCTCAGCCTCAGCTGCCTCAGCCTCAGCCTGCATGAGCCTCGGCCTCAGCCTCAGCCTGCAGCATCAGCCTGCCTCAGCCTCAGCATCAGCCTCAGCCTCAGCCTCAGCCTGCCTCAGCCTCAGCCTGCCTCAGCCTCAGCCTCAGCCTGCCTCAGCCTCAGCCTCAGCCTCAGCTTCAGCCTCAGCCTCAGTCTGCCTTCAGCCTCGGCCTCGGCCTCGGCCTCAGCCTCAGCCTCAGCCTCAGCCTCAGCCTGCAGCATCAGCCTGCCTCAGCCTCAGCCTCAGCCTGCCTCAGCCTCAGCCTCAGCCTGCTCAGCCTCAGCCTCAGCCTCAGCCTCAGCCTGCAGCCTCAGCCTCAGCCTCAGCAGCAGCTTCAGCCTCAGCCTCAGCCTGCCTCAGCTCTCAGCCTCAGCCTCAGCCTGCAGCCAGCCTCAGCCTGCTCAGCCTCCTCAGCTCAGCCTCAGCCTGCTTCAGCCTCAGCCTCAGCCTCAGCCTCAGCCTCAGCCTCAGCCTCAGCCTTCAGCCTCAGCCAGCTCAGCCTCAGCCTCAGCCTCCTCAGCCTGCCTCAGCCTCAGCCTCAGAGCCAGCCTCAGCCTCAGCATCAGCCTCAGCCTCAGCCTCAGCCTGCCTCAGCATCAGCCTGCCTCAGCCTCAGCCTCAGCCTGCCTCAGCCTCAGCCTCAGCCTGCTTCAGCCTCAGCCTCAGTCTGCCTTCAGCCTCGGCCTCAGCCTCAGCCTGCCTCAGCCTCAGCCTGCATCAGCCTCAGCCTCAGCCTCAGCCTGCCTCAGCATCAGCCTGCCTCAGCCTCAGCCTCAGCCTGCCTCAGCCTCAGCCTCAGCCTGCTTCAGCCTCAGCCTCAGTCTGCCTTCAGCCTCGGCTCGGCCTCAGCCTGCCTCAGCCCAGCCTGCATCAGCTCTCAGCCTCAGCCTCAGCCTGCCTCAGCATCAGCCTGCTCAGCCTCAGCCTGCCAGCCTCAGCCTCAGCCTCGGCCTCAGCCTCAGCCTGCCTCAGCCTCAGCCTGCATGAGCCTCGGCCTCAGCCTCAGCCTGCCTCAGCATCAGCCTGCCTCAGCCTCAGCCTCAGCCTGCCTCAGCCTCAGCCTGCCTCAGCCTCAGCCTCAGCCTGCTTCAGCCTCAGCCTCAGTCTGCCTTCAGCCTCGGCCTCAGCCTCAGCTGCCTCAGCCTCAGCCTGCATCAGCCTCAGCCTCAGCCTCAGCCTGCCTCAGCATCAGCCTGCCTCAGCCTCAGCCTCAGCCTCAGCCTCAGCCTCAGCCTCAGCCTCAGCCTCAGTCTGCCTTCAGCCTCGGCCTCAGCCTCAGCCTGCCTCAGCCTCAGCCTGCCCACGCCTCAGCATCAGCCTGCCTCAGGATTCAAAATGTGGCCCGGGAGTGGAGATTTGGGAACTCGAAAGCCCCGAAGTGGCCTACAGTTGGCTCCGGGCATTCAAAATCATGCCCAGGAATGAAGTTCTGGGAACTCGAAGACCACGAAGTGGCCTACAGTTGGCTCCGGGCATTCAAAATGTGGCCCGGGAATGGAGTTCTGGGAACTCGAAGACCACGAAGTGGTCTACAGTTGGCTCCGGGCATTCAAAATGTGGCACGGGAATGGAGTTCTGGGAACTCGAAGACCACGAAGTGGCCTACGGTTGGCTCCGGGCATTCAAAATGTGGCCCGGGAATGGAGTTCTGGGAAGTCGAAGAGCACGAAGTGGCCTACAGTTGGCTCCGGGCATTCAAAATGTGGCCCGGGAATGGAGTTCTGGGAGGTCGCAGAGCCTCACGAGAACCCTGCGGAACCCAGCCACCGAGTCGAGTGAGAACCACAGAGAACCCCTGGGGGAACCCAAAAATTCAAAGAAAAACTTAATTTTCAAATTCGACCACATTTCCCCCTTCTATACATCGACAAAAGAGGCCCCCAAGAGAACCCTGCAGAACCCAGCCACTGAGTTGACTGAGAACCACAGAGATCCCCTGGGAGAACCCAGAAATTCAAAGAAAAACATAATTTTCAAATTCGACAGCCTTTCCCCCTTTCTATACATAAAAAAGAGAACCCCCAAGAGAACCCTGCAGAACCCAGCCACTGAGTGCACTGAGAACCACAGAGAACCCCCGGGAGAACCCAGAAATTCAAAGAAAAACATACTTTTTAATTTCGACAGCATTTCCCCCCCTCTATACATCGAAAAGGAAAACCCCCAAGACAGAGAACCCCCGGAAGAACCCAGAAATTCAAAGAAAAACATAATTTTCAAATTCGACAATATACATCGAAGAAAGAGAACCCCCAAGAGAACCCTGCAGAACCCAGCCACTGAGTGCACTGAGAACCACAGAGAACCCCCGGGAGAACCCAGAAATTCAAAGAAAAACATAATTTTCAAATTCGACAGCATTTCCCCTTTCTATACATGGAAAAAAGATAACCCCCAAGAGAACCCTGCAGAACCCAGCCACTGAGTGCACTGAGAACCACAGAGAACCCCCGGGAGAATCCAGAAATTCAAAGAAAAACCTAATTTTGAAATTCGACAGCATTTCCCCCTTCTATACATCGAAAAGAGAGAACCCCCAAGAGAACCCTGCAGAACCCAGCCACTGAGTGCACTGAGAACCACAGAGATCCCCTGGGAGAACCCAGAAATACAAAGAAAAACATAATTTTCAAATTCGACCGCACTTCCCCCTTCTATACATGAAATAAAAAAACCCAAAAGAACCCTGCAGAACCCAGCCACTGAGTGCACTGAGAACCACAGAGAACCCCCGGGAGAATCCAGAAATTCAAAGAAAAACCTAATTTTGAATTTCGACAGCACTTCCCCCTTCTATACATCGAAAAAGAGAACCCCCAAGAGAACCCTGCAGAACCCAGCCACTGAGTGCACTGAGAACCACAGAGAACCCCTGGAAGAACCCAGATATTCAAAGGAACACATAATTTTCAATTTCGACATATTTCCACAAGTCTATACATCGAAAAAAAAAAACCAAGAGAACCCTGCAGAACCCAGCCACTAAGTGGACTGAGAACCACAGAGAACCACTGGGGGAACCAAGAAATCCCGCTAGCCCTCTAGGCGTCGGTGGTTTAGAAGGTTTCCTCTTCCACCCCTCCTTCTTCCCCTGCGGGGAGGGGTTTACCCCTCCCCCTACCCCCTCCCCACTGACATGGACAGGGGGGGCCGCGTCGCGTTAAAGCGTCCAAGATCGACCCCTGGGAGGGCTAAAATTCGACACCCCTCACGAGGATCATGGCTCCTGAGGGGGGAACCCTAATTGAGGGACCCCCCTTCGTTGATCAATCTCCTCCAAGATGTCTCCAAGAGACGTCTTGGAGCCCCTCTTGGGCCCTGCGCGAAGGCTGGCGGAGCGCCGCCCGCTCGCCCGCAAGGCCCAAGAGCCAACCAAAACGTTCGAAGATACCTCCAAGACCCACCAGGGAGGAGGAAGAGGCGGAGGAGGAGGAGGAGGAGGAGGAGGAGGAGGAGAAGGAGAGGGAGGAGGAGGAGAGGAGGACGAGAAGGCGGAGGAGAAGGAGGAAGAAGGGGAGGAGAACAGCTGTCGATCATCGGCGCTCTTCGTTCGAATGCCTGGTGTAGGATGGGCTGGTGGGGATTCGTGAAGCGTCAATAATTCGCTAATCGACGTGTCAGGGTAGGAGGTCTGTCCACCCCCGACGCTGCTTCTTCTTCATAAGAGGCAGGGCTGCGCGCTCCAGGCGGTCGCTGCGGCAGCAGGTGGGGGGACGGCGGCGCGGCGCCGTGGCTGGCGCACCACCCCCCTGGCAGGCCGACCGCCGTCGGCGAGCCCCCGGGGGGGAAAGCGAGAAGGGGCGGGCCCTCTCAGAGATCGGGTGTTGCTAGAAGTGCCCCTGGCCCAAGGTAACCCCCTAGGATTCTCGGGGTGGCCCGAACGGCCTCCAGGGCACCCCTCACGAGGCCCAGAGGGCCCCAGGGGCTCCAGAATGGAGCGGAAAACTGGGGGTGCCTTGGGCCAGGGGCACTTCGAGCAACACCCGAAGAGAAGACAGGCGCGCTCCACTGCGCGCAGGGCAGCTGCTCGCACGTGGCCTGGAGCCGCCGCGGGGGGGGTGGGGGACTCTACGAGCCGCTGCCACGACGATGCGAGCACGTGTGCGTCTCGGGTGCCTGCGAGCGGGCCCTCTGCGAGTGGTGGAGCGCGCTGGGCGACGCAGAGCTCGGAGAGCCTCGGGCCTCCTGGCAGATTCTCGAGCAAAAACTCTCCCCGCAGGCACGGAACACTCAGCAGAAGGTCAGGGGGCTCCTGAGAAGCCACGCGCCTCCGCAGAAGGCCTGCCCCCTGGTTCGCTTCCCCCCTTGGGAGCGCCGCCGACGCCAACAGAAAAACACGCATACCGCATGCCGCAGGGGCCACGCAAACTGCGCGAACGAGGCATCTGGCCAGGATGCCGACCTCGCGGCAAAACGAGGCACCAAACTGGGAAGACAAGGGCACACGTGCCTATGCTGATGCCTGGTCTGGTACATGAGTCTGGTACCGCTAGTCTGGTACATGAGTCTGGTACCGCTAGTCTGGTAAATTTGTCTGGCACATTAGGCTGGTACATTAGTCTGGCACATTAGTCTGGTACATTAGTCTGGTACATTAGTCTGGTACCACGCTTACGGTTAAGAACCCACTGCTTACGGTTAAGACCTCCTCTTCCTCGAAAGTGGCGACAGTTTCGCAGATCGCAGCACCCCAGGGACGGCGAGGTCTCGCTCAGGTTCGCGCGGTGCCTCACTCCGCTGGACCCACCAGCAGCCCTCGAAAGTGGCGACAGTTTCGCAGATCGCAGCATCCCAGGGACAGCGAGGTCTCGCTCAGGTCCGCGCGGTGCCTCACTCCGCTGCACCCCCCAGCAGCCCTCGAAAGTGGCGACAATTTCGCAGATCGCAGCCCCCCTGGAACGGCGAGGTCTCGCTCAGGTCCGCGCGGTGCCTCACTCCGCTGGACCCACCAGCAGCCCTCGAAAGTGGCGACAGTTTCGCAGATCGCAGCACCCCAGGGACGGCGAGGTCTCGCTCAGGTCCGCGCGGTGCCTCACTCCGCAGAACCCACCAGCAGCCCTCGAAAGTGGCGACAGTTTCGCAGATCGCAGCCCCCATCGTCGGCGAAGAGAGGGCAGGAGGAGGCGGGAGGCGGGAGGAGGAGGAGGAGGAGGAGGAGGAGGAGGAGGAGGAAGAGGAGGAGGAGGAGGGACGCGACCACAGTGCTCTATTCAAAACGAATACCCAACCAAGGAGGGTTGGGAAAAAGCGATTATACGTCATGTGTTTGAGCTGCTGTGTTTCTACAGTCGGGCCGCTGAAAGAAGGAACGTTAAATAAGAGACGAAGCCCCTTCTTGGCCCTGTGAGCGCCTCCGTGCCCCAGGAGGGCAAGAGGAACCACACTGGAGGAACCTAAGGAACATCGAGCCCCTTCCGAACCCAAACTGTTCCTTAGTTTAGCGTCTCGACTGTATATCGTGCGCGCACCAGGGCGCCCCTGCGGGGTCTGCAGGCCTCACCTGGGCCCAAGTCGCCACGGCGGTGCCCCACGAGCGGGCGAAGAACGGGCGCAATGCCCCAAGAGCGCGGATCAATGCGCGTCAGGCCTCAGGATCTGGCCCTTGCGGGGCCGCGACGAGCCCGCCGAAGGGGACCGACCTGAGGTCCAGAGCTGAGATCCGGACCTGAAGTCCGGACCTGGGGCCCGGACTGGAGGTCCGGAGCGGAGGTCCGGACCTGAGGTCCAGACCTGAGGTCCAGAGCTGAGGTCCAGACCTGGGGCCCGGACCTGAGATCCGGAGTTGAGGTCCAGACCTGGACTTCAGACTCCCATTCCAGAAAGCAGACCTCGACCCCCATGCCCCTCCTGTAACGCACTGCGCGCAACCTTTCGATCATCCGAACCGGACCGCCCGAAACTGAACCGTCCCGAGGCAAAACCGAACTGGCTCAAACCGAACTATATAGCGCCGAACCCGAGCATGCTACAACCGAAGCGGCCCGCTGCCGAATCGACCCGAACCGGCCCCATGCTGCGAAAGTGAGAGACGCAAGCGAAAGCGGAAAGCGAAAGCGGGAGGCGAAAGCGAAAGCGGGAGGCGAAATTGGGAGGCGAAAGCGAAAGCGGGAGGCGAAAGCGGGAGGCGAAAGCGAAAGCGGAAGGCGAAAGTGGGAGGCGAAAGCGGGAGGGGAAAGCGAAAGTGGGAGGCGAAAGTGAGAGGCGAAAACGACAGCGGGAGGCGAAAGGAGGCGAAAGTGGGAGGCGAAAGCGAAAGCGGGAGGCGAAGGAAGGCGAAAGTGGGGGACGAAAGCGAAAGCGGGAGGCGAAAGCGAAAGCGGTAGGCGAAAGTGGAAGTCGAAAGCGGATCGCCTCCCATTTTCGCTTCTGCTACTTGTCGTGAATTTGTCTTGATCTTGTCGTGTCTGGGTGCTTCCTGGTCGTGTTTGGGTCCTCCTTGTCGCGTTTGGGTCCTCCCCTTCCCGCGCGCCCTCCCGTTTCTCACCCGCGCCCTGTGCGGCTCGCCCCTGGCTCAGAGGACCAAGACATCATCGCATATGTCGCCCAAGGCGGACTTCAGGGCCTGCGCGCCGTCGTCGCCGATGCCGTTGCGGGCCAGGTCCAGGTACTGCAGGCCGGGCATGGAGGGCAGCGCCTTCGCCAGGGCCTGCGCGCCGTCGTCGCCGATGCCGTTGCTGCTCAGGTACAGCCTCCGCAGGGCGGGCATGGAGGGCAGCGCCTTCGCCAGGGCCTGCGCGCCGTCGTCGCCGATGCCGTTGCGGGCCAGGTACAGGTACTGCAGGCCGGGCATGGAGGGCAGCGCCTTCGCCAGGGCCTGCGCGCCGTCGTCGCCGATGCCGTTGCTGCTCAGGCTCAGCCATTGCAGGCCGCGCATGGAGGGCAGCGCCTTCGCCAGGGCCTGCGCGCCGTCGTCGCCGATGCCGTTGCTGGGCAGGTGCAGGTACTGCAGGCCGGGCATGGAGGGCAGCGCCTTCGCCAGGGCCTGCGCGCCGTCGTCGCCGATGTTGCAATTGTTCAGGTCCAGTTTCTCCAGGCGGGCGCACAGCCGCAGGCAGCCTGCGAGCCCCGCGACCTGCGCGGGGGTCGGGGGCGGCATTCCGTCGAAGCTCAGAATCGTCACGCCGCCCAGCTGCGCGCGGCTCATCCGCCGGAAGAGCGCCTTCACCGCCTCCCAGTCCGCGCCGTTGGTGAAGGACCTGTCCTCGATGAGCCGGTCGAACTCGTCCGGGCCCACCGGCCACCTCCTCCGGGCCTTCGTCACCCCCGCCCCTCCCCCAAGGTCGGCAACGGGGTTCCACTTCGCCTGATAACGGTAGACCTTCTTGATCTGCTCCGCGGAGCAACGCTCGTACGTTGTCCAGCCCGACTGGTCGTAGCCACACTCGCGCTCGCTGCCTCGCTCGCGGGGGTGCTGGGTGAGCAGGAGGACGGTAGTGGCTTGGTGGGCGTACCACAGGTCCATCGTCTCCTGCAGCCCATGTTTGAACGCGGCCTTCTCGGCGGGGGTACGCTTGGCCTCGTCCGCGGCCTTCTGCGCGTCCTTCTGGGTTTTTCCTTGCCGCAGGGCGGCGGCCTTCGCCTCATCGGCCTTGTCGGGGTCGCCCTGCAGCAGCGAGGGCCAGTCCCAGAAGACGCCCATGTCGCTGAACCCCTTAAAGGAACCATTTCCTCTGGAGTACTTGTGGCGCTCCTGCTCCAGGGTGTCTATCACCAAGCTCAGCTGCACCCCATTGGGGTCGGGATGCTCGCGTGAGTCCCAGCAGAACGAGATGGTGATGATCGGCGCCACCTTGTCCCATTCTCCTCCTCGCCCGCTGGCTTCCCAAATGGCCCGCAGCTCGCCGGCGGACACGAACGCCTCCTCTGGCAGCTCCTGGCGCCTCTTCAGGACCGTGCCCCGCTGCTGCAGAAGCCACGACATGCGGACCAAGCGCACTGGGTGAAGGCCCTCCACGGTGAACGCAAGAGCGTCGAAGAGGCTCGTGGCGTCTGTGTACCGCGTCGGGTCGAAAGACTGGCGGGAGGCCATGTCGAAAGACTGGCGGGAGGCCATGCAGCACCCCATCGTGTCGGCGCGGGGGGCTGGCTTGCAGAGGCAGGAGGGCGCTCGCGCCTGCTTCCAGACCTGCGTCCACCCGTGGAAGCTTGAGCCCAAGCGCTCACGAGGATCGTGGCCCGTGGGGAGCTCCACCGAGGGTGGCCAGTTGCAGGGTTCGTATGGCGGCCCCACTCCATTTTGGCGCACCTCTCACGGGTATCGTGGCCCCATAGGGGAGCCCCACCGAGGGCGCCAGTGGTAGGGTTCGTATGACGACCCCGCCCCATTTTGGCACACCCCTCACACGGTTCGTGGCCTCATAGCCTCATAGGGAGCTCCACAGAAGGCGCCAGTGGCAGGGTTCGCATGGCGGCCCCGCCCCATTTCGGCACACCCCTCACACGGGTCGTGGCCTCATAGGGAGCTCCACCGAGGGCCTCATAGAGCGATGGACCCAGAATGCGGTCGCCGCAACTGCTTATGGTTGGGTCCTTCGTCAGGCTATTTTTTCATAAGTTTTCTAGGTTGATGGAGGCGGGCATTGACTCCTCCTCCTCCTGCTCCTCCTCCTCCTCCTCCTCCTCCTCCTCCTCCTCCTCCTCCTCCTCCCCCTCCCCCTCCACCTCCTCCTCCTCCCCTCTCACCTTGAAGGCACGCTGAAGGCAAGCTGAAAGTACGCTGAAGGTATGCTGAAAGTACGCTTTGCTCACACCTTGAAGGTACGCTGTAGGTGCGCTGTAGGTACGCGCTTATACAAGGACAACAACAAGAACACATTATTGTAGGTACGCTGTGGGTACGCTGTAGGTACGCTGAAAGTACGCTTTATTCACACCTTGAAGGTGCGCTGTAGGTACGCTGTAGGTACGCGGTAATGAAGGGAGCACTAAGACAACACTACTCTAGGTACGCTGAAGGTACGCTGTAGGTACGCTAGGCACGCTGGACCCACACCTTGAACGCATGCTGTAGGTACGCTGCAGGTGCGCGCTTATACAGGAATGAAAGACAACAGTAAGACAACAGTATTGTAGGTGCGCTGTAGGTACGCTGAATGTACGCTGCAGGTACGCGTTTATAAAGATCATCCTGCGACGTACCCAACCCATTCTACACAAGTGGCAATTGCACTGAGGACCACTCAATACCGCAGGACATTTCGGCGCCATGGTCTAGTGGTGGTCTGCGTAGGACGTACCTCCGTTGAGCCTCCCAAAAGCCCATGCGCGCCAGGTGAGCCAAGCGCGCCAGGCGCGCCAGGTGCGCCAAGTGCGCCAGGTGCGCCAGGTGCGCCAGGTGCGCCAGGTGCGCCAGGTGCGCCACGTGCGCCACGTCCGCCAGGCGCGCCAGGCGCGCCAGGTGCGCCAGATGCGCCAGGCGCGCCATGTGCGCCAAGTGTGCGCCAGGTGTGCGCCAGGTGTGCGCCCGGTGTGCCAGGTGCGCCAGGTGCGCCCAGCGCGCCAGGTGTGCCAGGTGCGCCAGCTGCGCCAGGTACGCCAGGTGCGCCAGGCGCGCCAGGCGCGCCAGGTGCGCCAGGTGCGCCAGTGGCGCCAGGCGAACCAGGTGCGCCAGGTGCGCCAGGTGCGCCAGGCGCGCCAGGCGCGCCAGGTGCGCCAGGTGCGCCAGGAGCGCCAAGTGAGCCAGGTGCGCGCCAGGTGTGCGCCAGGTGTGCGCCAGGTGCGCCTAGCGCGCCAGGTGCGCCAGGTGCGCCAGGTGCGCCAGGTGTGCCAGGTGCGCCAGGTGCGCCAGATGCGCAAGGTGCGCCAGGTGCGCCAGGTGTGCGCCAGGTGCGCGCCAGGCGCGCCAGGTGCGCCAGGTGCGCCAGTTGCGCCAGTTGCGCCATTCGCGCCAGGCGCGCCAGGTGCGCCAGGTGCGCCAGGTGTGCCAGGTGCGCCAGGTGCGCCCAGCGCGCCATGTGCGCGCCAGGTGCGCGCCAGGTGCGCGCCAGGCGCGCGCCAGGTGCGCCAGTTGCGCCAGGGGGGCGCCAGGTGTGCGCCAGGTGCGCGCCAGGTGTGCGTCAGGTGCGCCAGTTGCGCCAGGTGTGCCAGGTGCGCCAGTTGCGCCAGGCGCGCCAAGTGAGCCAGGTGCGCCAGGCGCGCCAGGCGCGACAGGTGCGCCAGGTGCGCCAGGTGCGCCAGGTGCGACAGGCGCGCCAGGTGCGCCAGGTCTGCGCTAGGTGTGGCTGGTGCGCCAGGTTCGCCCAGCGCGCCAGGTGCGCCGGGTGCGCCAGATGCACCAGGTTTGCCAGGTGTGCGCCAGGTGTGCGCCAGGTGCGCGCCAGGTGCGCCAGGTGCGCCAGTTGCACCAGGCGCGCCAGGTGCGCGCCAGGCGCGACAGGAGCGCGCCAGGTGCGCCCAGCGCGCCAGGTGCGCCAGGTGCGCGCCAGGTGCGCCCAGCGCGTCAGGTGCGCTAGGTGAACCCAGCGCGCCAGGTGCACCAGGTGCGCGCCAGGTGCGCGCCAGGTGCGCCAGGTGCGACAGGTGCGACAGGTGCGCCAGGTGCGCGCCAGGTGCGCCCAGCGCGTCAGGTGCGTCAGGTGCGCCCAGCGCGCCAGGTGCGCGCCAGGTGCGCGCCAGGTGCGCCAAGGGGACAGGGAGCTCTCAATGTGGTCTGCGTAAGACGTACCTCCGCTGGGCCTCCCAGGAACCCACGAACGTGGCGACAGTTGCGCAGATCGCAGCCCCGCAGGAGCACAGGGAAGCCTCAAAGTGGTCTGCGTAGGACGTACCCCCGCTGGGCCTCCCAGGAACCCACGAAACTGGCGACAGTTGTGCAGATCACAGCCCCGCAAGGGACAGGGAGGCCTCAAAATGGTTTGCGTAGGACGTACCTCCGCTGGGCCTCCCAGGAACCCACGAAACTGGCGACAGTTGCGCAGATCGCAGCCCCGCAGAAGGCAGGGATGCCTCAAAGTGGTCTGCGTGGGACGCACCTCCGCTGGGCCTCCCAAGAACCCGCGAAAGTGGCGACAGTTGCGCAGATCGCAGCCCCGCAAGGGACAGGGAGGCCTCAAAGTGGTGTGCGTAGGACGTACCTCCGCTGGGCCTCCCAGGAACCAACGAAAGTGGCGACAGTTGCGCAGATCGCAGCCCCGCAGGGGACAGGGAGGCCTCAACGTGGTCTGCGTAGGACGCACCTCCGCTGGGCCTCCCAGGAACCCACGAAAGTGGCGACAGTTGCGCAGATCGCAGCCCCGCAGGGCACCGCGAACACAGGAGAGAAGAAGGAGGAGAGGGCGGGAGGTGGATACCACAGTGTTCTATTCAAAACGAGTACCCAACACAAGGAGGGTTGGGAAAAAGTGGGCGGAGCCCCCACGGGCCAAGTCTTATTGCGGTTGTGCCGAATCCTCTCTCTTTCGGGTCAACTGGCCACCTCGGGCCAACACCCTGGAAAGCGCCCAGAGCACCCCTCGTCTGAGGCGCACTTCTTACCAGAAGTGGCGGAGGAGGCGGAATGTAGAAGCGCCGTTGTGCGGAGAACAAACGAGCAGCCGTCCGTCTGCGCTGCTGGATTGGGCCGCGTGGCCAACGCCGTGGCGGCTCTCCGCGGCACCCTCACTCGGCGTGTGTTGTAGAAGGCGTGCTGGGGGCAAGGCGGCTGGCAGGGGCAGCGAACCAGCCTGATGGTGCAGGCTGCGGTGAGTCCGCTGCGGCTGGCAGAGGCTGCAAGGCTAGACGGAAATGCGCGATGGTGGCTGTGGGAAGCGAAGCAGTGCGTTGGCTGTGCGGCGGTAGCTTGCCCTGCGGCATGCGCTCGCCCACGACTAGCCATGTGTGGGGGCATCGAACGACAAGGATTGTCGGATCGATTTCCCTCTTGAAGTCCCCGTTGGCTGCCGCCGCAGCCGCCTCGGGGACCGTTGTGTTTTTGATGGTCGCCAACTCCGTCCTGAGGGCCTGGAACTCGAGCTTGAGGCCATCGATAATACTCTCCGCGTTGTCCATTCTCGTCTCGAAGGTTGCGAATCGGGAGCGCAAATCCTTGTCGAGGCCGTCGAAACTGGTGGCGACCTGCAAACCCAATGCTGAGAGTGGCGTCGATGCGGGCCATGATCTCTTTCTTGGAATTGTCAACGCTTGTACGCAATTCAGCACCGTCAACCTGAGAAAGAGACCGCACCGGCGAGCGCAATCTGGACCCTCCATCACGTCGACCACCTGCTGCCGCAGCGCCATCTCCTGCACTGCTGGCTGCCGCGCTCATGGGGCCAGGTGAGCACCAGGCTGACGCGCAATGACAAATAAGGGAAAGATAGGGTATGCGAAATGTGTGTGTGTGGAGAGAAAGTCCACCTCCCGTTGACAGCAGGATCGCTCACTGAGGTGGGCGTTCCTGATCCTCCTCCTCCTCCTCCTCCTCTTCCTCCTCCTCCTCCTTCTCCTCCTCCTCTTCGTCTTCTTCGTCGTCGTCCTCCTCCTCCTTCTCCTCCTCTTCCTCCTCCTCCTCCTTCTCCTCCCCTTCCTCCTCTTCTTCTTCTTCCTCCTCCTCCCCCTCTTCCTCTTCCTCCTCCCTATCCAGCTCCTCCGCAATTAGACAGCATGAGTACTACTCTCATCTCTCCCCTGATGACGTCTGGAAGATTTCTGGCCCCTTCCGCGTATTTTTCATTACACACAGGACTCCTGGGAACTGGGGTTTCGCTCGGGCTGTTATTCAAAATGCTGTTCCCGCTGAAGCGCTGGTTTCATTTTCCGTTTTCCGTTCGTTCCGGATCGCGTTCCCGCTGCAGCGCTGGCCTCATTTCCGCCCTTCCGCTCGTTCCGAATCGTGCTCTCGCTGCATCGCTGGCCTCATTTCCGCGCTTCCGCTCGTTATGAAGTGTGTTCCCGCAGCAGCAGCCGCGGCATGGTTTTCGGTCATTCCAATTTCGCCTCAACATCTAGAAAATGCCCCCCCCCGGAAAAAAAAAACATCAGAAGTGATTCCACATTCGGTGTCGATCCGTTGTTTTGTTGGACAGCGAACGCCCCCTCTACGTTGGGGCGTCGCCACGCCATGCTATGTCATGCTGCGCGTTGATATTCAACACCATGATATACCATGTAATGCTATTCCATTTTACGACGTCCGACTATGCGAATAGAGGGGAGGAGTCGTCACGCCACGCTGTCATGCTACG